GCAAGGATCCTGTGAGTGTCCCATCGCTACCTTCTATTGTTTTTCGTGATTGCGTGCCGATAGACCCCTCTTTCGAGGGTTTCTTGAAAAACAATTTATCGAAAATCCTGGAAATATTGTTTTTTTTTTTTTAGTTTTGTTTGTTGTTTCCAAGTAACTTGTGGAAATAAAATGCAAAGGATGTTTCGAATTAAAATTTTTATTTAATTGACGGCGGTTGCCTTATTTTTCCTTTTTTTTTGTTTTATTGAGATCATAAACAGTTCCAATCTTCAAAAAGTTTAAAACTTTTGTGAATAATTGCGAATGTTGCGCTTCAGTATTATTCTATTCCAAATTCTATACGAAAGTATCGAAAATGATGTTTCTGCATATCATCAGGCTATAACTTTTAAGGCTCTGACCCACAAATCTAGTATTTTAAATTTAACCACAATCGTCATACTAACGAGGTCCAGTTGTGGTAATGGTAAGAAATGTATACAACTTAATGGGCCGAAACACTTCTTACCATTATAATAATGTCAAAAATTTTTTAATTTTCATCTCTCACCTTTCCCTTTTTCTTTTTTTCTCTTTTTCCTATTCTTTCCTATTGTAACTTCCTATTACTATATTACTGATATGATATTGGTATTTGTAGATATAAATTATTTCCATTGCGTTCGCATAGTGGACATTCTGAAAGACACGGAGCAGGATACGAAAAATTTCCTGGGATATTACTCATCGCGTCGGATGAATGATTGGATGGTTCGTTGCTAGTATCCTATTTTTTTCATCAGGAAAAAAAATCGGATCAAAGAGGGCCTTTTTTTGAAACACTGCGGGGGAAGAATTAGGCTTTTTTCCAGCATTAACTCGAAACTTCATCACTGTTTTACTTTCCGCTAAAAAAGTCAAGGGTCTCACCACTGGTATTTTGTAAATACTAAACAACTACCCGCAAGCATACTGTTGATTAACTTCTTTTTCGAGGAGGGCTTGAAAAACAGGGTTTAGGTGATTTGATCCGTTACCTGGCTAAAACCAATCGTTCATGAAAATGGACCTTTGGGGGTTTTTCCTTTTGTTTTTTTAATAGATCCATATCATTTCCCGTGGTCCAGAATCCCCCACGTCTTTTCTATGTGCTTTTTCTACTTGGTAAACCTATTAAAAACAGCGCTCTATCAAACAACTGTTATTTAAGCAAATCGAGCAGCTGTATAAGAAAGGGAACGTATATCTAGCGGAAGCTGCACAGATTTTGCAACGGATGGTTCAGTACGAAATTCCGGCTCTCAAAAAGCAAATTCTGAAAAGTGACCAGATAATTGCGGTAAACTTTCGATTCATTTTTTCGCTCTCGCCCGTTGATTTTCACTTATTTTCAAACATGTTGCAGGAGTGCGAGAGGAAAGCAAGTGATTACGCAAAGCAGGCTATTGAAGGTAAAAAGCAGTATGAGAAAGAATTATTGAAAATGGGCATTAAAGGTAAAACTTCCGATATTTGTTCAACTATCCATGACTTTTTTTTCTCCTTTGATACTGTGATCAGCTACCGTTCCATCATATTCTACCGTTGTTAGACTGGAAAACTTTCCTTAGTTGCTTTGTTCAAAGTTGCGTCACTTTGTGTTTTTAGCCTGTTTGTATCCCATTGTTCTAATTGCTTCCTTTTTTTTCGGGGAGAAAAGCTAGATGTACCACTCCTCGCGCAGCTTTTCTGTCGAGGTCCCGTCGCAGTGTTGAGTTGAGACGTATATGACTTAATAGACCGGAACATCTTATCTCGCTATTGCTTTCTTTTCTCATGCTGTTTTTGCTTCCTGTATTCAATCGCGGCTTCGACACTTCGGCTTCCAGGGTCAACCTGGATGCTACAATCGGCTTTTCACCACACCCATCGCTAATACTCCTATGTTTCCCAGCAATCATCGCGCTTAGGAGATTTGTTAGGACTCCCCAAAAATACTAAACTTAGATACGAAAGCCTAAGAGCCACATTAGGAGGCGTCCAGATGATCCTCGACCTGAAAACCACTTTTTTTTT